GCAGGGATATGAAATTATGCAGGAAGGGATATGAAATTGCCTAAGGCAAGAAATGAAATGAATATGAAGTAGCCCAGGCAGGGATATGAGATTGCCCAGGCAAGGATATGAAATTACCCAGGCAGGGATATGAAATTGCCTAAGGCAAGAAATGAAATGAATATGAAGTAGCCCAGGCAGGGATATGAGATTGCCCAGGCAAGGATATGAAATTGCCCAGGCAGGGATATGAAATCACCCAGGCAGGGATATGAAATTGCCTCAGGCAAGAAATGAAATGAATATGAAGTAGCCCAGGCAGGGATATGAGATTGCTCAGGCAAGGATATGAAATTGCCCAGGCAGGGATATGAGACTGCCCAGGCAGGGATATGAAATTGTCCAGGCAGGGATATGAAATGAATATGAAGTAGCCCAGGCAAGGATATGAAAAGGCAATGAAATAAGGCTGGGTAGGCAATGAAATTAAAAGTCAGGCAAGAATGAAATAGCAATGAAACAATGCTGGGTAGACAATGAAATGGAAGGCCAGGCAGTAATGAAATTGCAATGAAGTAGTATTGAAATATGTCTCAGGACAGTTATGAAATAGTCATGAGAAGCACTGGTAAAGAAATGAAATACATTTCATAAGTTTTGCCTACTCTTCTCATTTCATAAATTCATTAGGCAGTGTGGATGTCGGTGTGCAGGCACTTGCCTGTATTTTATCATAAAAGTGGTAGCTACTAGTGGCTGAACTATGAATATCCGGAGCCACTCCCACCACCGCCTCCCATCACCCTGGAACAAGTAGAACGTCACATAAAGCGGCTATCTCCGTTTAAGGCGAGTGGGCCGGACGAAATCCCAAATGTGGTGCTCCAGAAGTGTTTCGAACACCTCTCGGAGTATCTAGTACATCTTTTCAGAGGCGTCTTCGCGCTGAGAACCTACTATTCAGGGTGGCAGGAGTTCACTACGGCGGTGCTGAGGAAGCCAGGTAAACCCAATTACGAAGTGCCAAAAGCTTACCGTCCAATAGCCCTGCTATGCACGATTCCGAAAGTACTAACGGCGATCGTAGCGGAGAACATCAGCCACCTGGTGGAGAAGGAGTCTCTGCTGCCGGATACGCACTTTGGTGGACGGCCAGGACGCACCACAACGGACGCCATCCACTACCTCGTGGGCAAGATCAAAGCGGCTTGGGGTAAGAGGAGGGTTGCTTCGGTGCTCTTTCTAGACGTCGAAGGGGCCTTCCCGAACGCGGTTACTGACAGGCTAATCCATAATCTGAAGAAGAGACGGATACCAACGACCTACGTCAAATTCATCAAGAGGCTCCTACAGGGGAGGAAGACCAGGCTCAAATTTGACGATTTCATTTCAGAACTCATCGACATCAAAAACGGAATAGGACAAGGGGACCCAATATCTATGTTACTCTATATCCTTTACAATGCAGATCTGCTGGACGCCCTTCGACGTTTGGACGAAGACGCCATCGGCTATGTGGACGACGCACTGGTCATAGCGACAGCCAAGACGCTAAAGCAAACGACGAAAGCGCTTAAGAGCTACATGGAAAGGAGAGAGGGCGGTTTCGACTGGGCAAAGGACCACAATTCGAGGTTTAAGATTAGCAAGGTGGCCGTCATGCATTGCCAGCCGAGGGCGAGGAAGGATGGGGATAGGCCGAACCCAGTACTCCGGCTAAGGGGAAATGTGGTAAAGGAGGTGGAGAGCTACAAGTACCTGGGGGTACACGTCGACAATCAGCTGAGGTGGAAGATGCAGGAGAATGAGGCCATGGAGAAGGCGACTTCCTATATACTTATGTTTCGCAGGCTAACCCGCACAAGTTTAGGTATCAGGCCCAGGCTCATGCGACTCTTGTACGTTTCGGTGGCCATCCCGAAGATGACGTACGCACTCGATGTATGGTATGTGCCTCCGAACAAGAAGGAGGGCATGCGGAACAACAGTGGATCAGTCAGAGCGATGAAGTCCATGGGTAAGATACAGAGGATAGCGACGAAGGCAATCACAGGGGGACTGTGGACTGCACCCAACGACCTGCTGGATGCGCATGCTGGGGTTCTACCTGTGAACTTGCTGCTGGAAAGGATTTGCCACGCTGCAGTGGTACAGATGGCGACTCTACCAACTGGACACCCAACGAGGGCTATGATTCGCGGATACAGCAAGACGCCCGCCAGGACCCACCTTGCCCCGATGCAGAAGCTAATCGAGTGTTTCAGGATCAGACCCAAACGCTTCGAGACAGTGATGCCAGACACCAGGCCACCTACCTACAAGAGACCGTTTTCCGCCAAGATCGCAGGATCGAAGGAAGATTCTATCAAGGAGGAGGGTCTGGACGATGCAGACATAAGGATATACACAGATGGTTCGGGGTATGAGGGACACGTGGGGGCTGCAGCAGTGTTATACAGGAAAGGGGTCGACGAGCCAGAGAAGACGCTGCGCTTTCACCTGGGGCCTCTGACGAAACACACAACCTACGAGGGTGAGGCCGTTGGGTCCATTCTTGCGGCGTGGATGTTACAGGGACGGCCTGAGGTGGGGAAGGCAACGGTGACCAGTTACACTGACAGTCAAGCGTTCATCAGATCAACGGGAGCGAGGAAGACGAAGCCGGGGCAATACCTCGTAATGGAGTATCTGAGACTGACGGAAGCGATGACTGACAGTACTGATGTCCCCATCCAGACAGGTACAGACAAATTCGCGCTCAAATGGGTTGCAGCGCACAAGGGGGTAGCGGGAAATGAGAAGGTCGACGAAGAGGCGAAGAAGGCAGCGCTAGGGGATTCGAGCCCGTGGGAGGAGTTACCGCCATTACTGAGGAAGCGGTTGCCATACAGCGCCACGGCAGTCAAACAAGAGTTCGCAGGGAAATTGAAGGCAAGATGGGCGGAAGCGTGGGCAGCCTCTCCGCGTTACGCAAGATTTCAACACGTCGACACAGACTTCCCATTCAACAAATTCCGGAAGATCAGCAACGAGCTATCAAGGCCGCAAGCCAGCCTACTAACACAGATACGCACAGGACATATCCCGCTTAACAGCTACCTTTTCAATATCAAGAAGTCGAGGGTCAGGCGATGCGATGCGTGTTGGGAGGCAGGACGTTTGGAGATCACAGAGACGGTGATCCACTTCCTGTTCGAGTGCCAGACTTATGCTGCAGAACGCTACGACATGGACAGAGCCTTGGGCCGCTATTCAAGGGACCTCAAGGGGATCATGGGGAGTATGAAGAGGATAAAGGAGCTGCTCAAGTTCGTGGGCCGGACAGGGCGCCTCAAGAAGTCGCTAGGGGATTCAATAGGTGACGTCTCTCAGTTGGAATCCGAGGAAGGTTGACAGATAGCACATTATATTCACAGGTTGTACACTACATCAAGGAACGACGTCTGGACAGACTAGTCGGCTCTCTGCCGGCGGGCTCGCCCACAAAACCCCCCCTCTATCTTTTACCCGCATCTCAGCTTGCGGACATCAAGCGATAAACACATACTGCCAGGCCGACAGCGCTCGACAATCAATCAAGCCAACGGCAGCAAAGCACCAACAAAACTCACTTTTCCCTGACCGCGCTCGTCCCGTATTAGCTGTACCCTTCGCATGGCGATCGGGTACTTGGAAGAAGAAACGCACCACATTCAGACTGCATCAGATAAGCAGAGGGATACGAGACTACCCCGCTCACCATACCGACGTGTTCCCAAACGGCGTTTCTGTGCCGGGCTGTGTGGGGGAATGAACGCCTCGGGCGTGCCTTCACCAGTACAGGGGACAGTCAACGGGGGTCAGGTATAAGGCATTAGGGGCCTTAGGTAGTCTACAAAGTTGTAAAGTCTGACATGGGGCCTTGCCCCAATAGACTATAATTTGACATTAAAAAAAAAAAAAAAAAAAAAAAAATAGTCAGTTGTCAGTGGGTGACTGAAGTGTCGAGGGAGCCACATTGAGTTCCTCCATCGACTGCTTAATTTGCTGGTCCGCATGCATAGCGCTATAGCAGTACAAGTAAGAAAAAAACCCATAACATGAAAGAGGGATAACGCACCAGACTTTGCTAACAAAGATGTCCGTCAAGGTGGCAATTGGCCACTCCTCACGGGTGCAGAGTGCTTGAAGGTCCTTGGAACTCATGAAAAACCCCATCTTGTTCCGTGCCGTGAGATTTCTGCCACTGTAGACCAAGATACCGGCAACGTCGAAAGATTTGTCGCGACGTTTGATATTGGTGATCTTTAAAAGTGGTGTATATAAGAAGAATGCGATGAACAAACCAATCAGACATACAAGGTCGCGAATTTCCTTCATGTAAGACGCAAAGCAAAGGTTTGCGTTGCAGACATTGGTCCCTTCTTCGTTGACTTGATTCTTGATGAAACTAATGGCCTCCTGGATCCGTTCATCTTTCTCTTCTTTTGTTGTTGCTCCTTGCATAAGCTTCTTGTACTCCTCATTGGTGGCCCTGTTCCAGAGCTGGAGGCCTTCTACAATCATATATGAGAAAGCGGGTTCAAGAAGGTAAAACGAAGACTAACCATGATCCCCCTCCTCTGGTTTCGTCCTGCTGGCAAAAGTTTTGAACAGGTTGTAGCGGTTTGGAGCTCGCTTCTCTTTGCACAGAAGACCCACTTTCTCCATGGCGAAGTCTGAAGAACGGCCATAGAGATGGCCCAACCTATGTGCGACTTGCCAGACGACCTGGCCAAACATCGGATACAACACCGTTTCCAGGAGTGAAGGCTTTGTCGAAGAAACCTCTTCAAGGTCTGGGAGCAGGGCGTCAGGGATCAATGTGAGTCCGTAGCTGCTCAAGAGGGATGCGGTGTCCAACTGGGAAGGTGTGTATGACGCCGTTAAGTCCTTCCAGTGGGCGGATGAGGTGTGTACTTTCCCTTCCGTTTTCATTGTCGATAACAAAAGGCAAGCAGCTTTGGATCGCGCTTCTTCCTGCTTGTCACGCTCCAAGTCGTGTTCGTCTTCCTCCTCGGTGTCCCTAACCAAAGGTTTCTTGCCTTTGGAACGCCGTTTTTCCTCCTCACACGCTTCTTCCTCCTCGTGCTCCAGGTCTGGTTCTTCTTTGGCATCTTCCTCGTCAATCTTCACGTCATCCTCTTCAGTGTCCATAACCGACTGTCCCCTCGATTTACACCAGTCCCTCGTCTTCTCTTCCTCGCATCGTCCCACTTCATAGTCAGAGCCACTGAGGTCACTCTCGATCACGAGATCTGGGGCTTCCCAGTCCTGTAATGCTGTAACTTTCTCCTTCTTCCCTTCTTCCTTACGTGGATGAAGTTGGCACTGTGCAAGACTGATTGCGGAGTGACGATGCCTCTCAGCTCGCACAAGTTCATAGTTGACGGCGTCAACATAGTCCTGGGGGTCGTGTGGGGCCGTGTAACCCGCAGGGAGCATGAGGTACGCCTGTGTGTCGTTATCCCACATTTCTGTACACCTATCGGCAGCGTTTTGGGCACCTTCTTGAGGTAAGGAGCCTTGGTAGCGAATGTAGCCCTTTTCCCAGGGCTTTCGGAACTTGTAGGCCACCTCTTCCCCCTCGAGGCCTGCTACCAACACCGCCTCTTCCCCCTTCGAAATGTCATAAACGTGGAGAGGGTAGATCTCCGGATCTTCGGGCTCACGAGAGGCATTGAGTTCCTTGAAGGTTTTGCGAGCCTCTGGGTGGACGTAAGCGATGCAATGATGATCCAGGATGCGTATGTCGTTCTCTGCCTCAATGAGATCCTCTGGCGTGTGAGGGGCCGTGTAATTCGCTGGGATTGGGACCCAAAATCCAGATTCCTCGTCAAACATGGTTGTCCGATCGTCGGCTGCAGAGCGGCCCCCTCTCTTGGGGCGACGCCCGTTGTAACTTCTATATCCCCCTTCTTTATACGCGAATCAGTAACAAGCGTCGCCTTGGAGTGCACCATTCAATGCAGCAATCTTGACGTCGTCAAAGTGGCCGAGGCTTATCAGTTCGATGTGTCGTGGCAGATGTGGGTGATCAGTGTTGTCTTCGTTGTCCGTGCCTTCTGCAGTGGCTGAGGAGAGGGTGTTGGATGGTGGAACTGGAGCATCGGGCTCCGTGGCAGACATCCTAAAAATATTATGAGATTGTTGTGATGTAATCTACAGCAGAAACAACTCACATAGTGACGACGTCATTTGTCTGGTCAGGCAAAGCAGGGACGGAATCCTGGACACTGTTTGGAATGAAGTTAGTTTGTGTTTCCTAGGCCGCCACTGCCCAACCGACTAAAGTCTGGTTGAGCGGGGTTGTCGACATAAAGTCTGACAATCAGGAATCAACTAAAGTCTGATTCCACGATGGACAATACAATAATATGAGCCACTAACCTACTTTTGCCAGCCGCTGCCCTCAGCCGCGCTTCCACGTGTGCAATGTTCATTGCTTGCACGTCATCACGGGATTTGCCAGTTGGTATCGAGACGCAATCGAGTACTTGATGCGAGACAGCGTTGCCATTGGAGGTCTTCTTAGAATTCATTAGTAACGTAGTAACTATGTAGACATTACACGACGTACCTTTTTGGAGGGATTCGGCTCCAGCATTTTGTTTTTCTTCGACATTTTGTTGGCCTTGGAAGTCTAAATGAGATGTGCCACGTTGGTACACGGACGGGGAGGGAGAGTGATTTACTTACATGGGTTTTCGTGGAACGAGTTCCGGCACTTGCCAAACCTTGGTCTTTTTGTTTGGGAGCGTGGGGGGGCATACTGGAGAGTGAACGAGGAAGCCCTTGGTGGCTGGTTCAAGTAAGTCGCGAGGGAAGGAAGTTGCTTGCAGTGGGTGTGAGCTGGTTAAACATTTCAGTGCATGTGATCACGTGCAACGCGACAGCCCTGAAGCCTTCGAAACCTGGATGCAGGCAATCCATGCATATTGAGGTTGTGTGCGCGTGGTCGTAGCCCAGGCTGAATGGTGGTTTGAGCCCGTTATACGGCTGATTGACAGAAAGACGTACATTGTGTTTTGAGTGCTGTTCACGTGGGGTAGGGCGGGCTGCAGCCTATGCACGTACTAGGGTTGGTACTAACTAGTCCAGAGTTATGTGTATACAATTTAATCTAGATTCTATACTGTTTTGAACACGGCGATGCCGTGCTGAGTTGAAGTCGAAGGTCAGTCAAAAGCTAAACAGGTTCCTTGTGAGCAAGGAACACAAGTGAAAAAAACGAGCCACATACCTTCTGAGAAACAGGTTACTTGTGTTTGATTTGGGAGGGCATCTTGGCCAAAAGAAATCTACGTTATTGGTTGTAAGTACCACGATCTCGTATATATATTCTATATTCTATATGTTCTATAATCTAAGCTATTTGGGAACGCGAAAATCCCTTCATCGAAGTTGTGTTAAATGGGGTTTTTTGAAAGACTTTCATGATCGTTTGATATGGGCTATCTGAGTGTTTCATGTGTATGGTCATCAGTGGGCTTGCCAGCTTATTTACCATCCAAGAAAGTGTACTGGTTTTGGATTAACTGACGGGGAAGGGTGTGAAAGATTCTGGAGCTCAATTAAGCTTTTGATTCCATCACTGCGTGTTAGTGGCTACTACACACATATCTATACAATTGACACTCAAGTGAAACATCTGGACCGCAAATCTCTTATGGGTCTGGGGGACTGGCTCAGGAGAAAATGGAATGCTGCTATTCTTCAAAGAAATGAGGCTACAGCTGTTTTGGCTGAACTTCAGCAGAAAAATATCACTGAAGATCTCTTGAGAGAAAATTGGGCTGCTCAGATGGCTCACCAGACAAAACCAAGTCCCAGGCAAGCAAAAAACTTGGCAGACAAGGTTATTCAAGAAATTTTGGAGCTAAAGGATTCTATGACAGAGCTCAAAGCAGAGCTATATAAGTTTGAGACAATGATTCACAAGGGGAAATATGATGATGGCTGGGAGGTTTCAGAAGTTAGACTGCATCCGGAAGATCTTAAGGAAAAATTTGAGAAGACTGAGAGGTCATTGAAGTCTAAAAGTGACACATTGGGAGCTGATAGCCATTTAAATCTTGAACGTTTGCTGGGCAATAAGTTCCTTCGACTCCGGGTCAATGCTTTAGCTGTGAAACAGCACTTGAGAAATTGTCTGCAACAGCGCAAATTTGAACTAGATAGTTTAGAGCGAGCATACCGTAAGACAACAACCAATAGTAAGTCACTGAGTCAAATTTATAAAAATGGGGGGCTCATATTGTTTTTGAAGCCAAAAAATTACAGGAACATTCAGAATCTCAGATAAAGCGCAAAGAACCAGGAATTCAAAACTTGGCAAAGAAATACAATGATATCTGTGCAGAGCTAGAAAAGATGATTAAAAGAAAAGAAAGTCCTCATGGTGCATGTGCACCACACAGAATAGCCACTGATGGCCTTTTCAAACTATATGTTGATGATGACATCTGGCAGGATGTTGGTTTAGATGACATGGATCTCTCTTCTGGCAGAGAAATCCCACAATGGCTGGGCGATGAAGGTGTGCGGAAAGGAATCAAATCATTGTTGGAGCTGGATCGATGCCAGGAAGAGCTGTGATGATTGTCCTATGAGCGTAGTGCAATGCAGGAATAGTTTGCAGAAGAGTGGAAGTGTGTTACGATGGCAATGCAAAGTGAGGAAGATAAAGATGTTATGTATCAACTGGAGTTACATGCTTATACTTTGCTACATCTATGCAACATCTGGCAAGATCAAGTACGCTTAGTGATTCCACACAAGGAGATGAGTCCATCTTGGGGTCCAACCAATACTTTCCATTCCTCCACTGATTCCTACCGGAATCCGCAGATTCCCTGGATTCCGGCCGGAATCCTGGAATTCCGGTAGGATTCCTGAAATTCCGGTAGGATTCCTGGAATTCCACAGGATTCCAGCCGGAATTGACAGGAATCCAACTGGAATCAACAGAAATTGAACACTAGAACTTCTGGTTAATTAATGTTGGACCCTGAATCTCCTTCTTTAGGTCAGACAAATAGAATTGTAGCACTAAATCTTTGACTAAACAAGGGCATAAGGCATATGACTAGTTACTTACTAATGCATGGACTTATTTATTTCAATCAGATTCAGAGACATTAGATTCTGCATGTTGTTCATCCAAACCCAAGTCTTCATCATCACTTTTAGTCTCCTGAGACTTTGCTTTGTGTTTCTGTTGAGTGAGGACATGTTTTGTGTGATAAAACAACATTACATGTAAAAACCAGTTGAAATTTCCAGGTTTCATGTGTTTGAGAAGCTCAAATCCACCCAGCCATGCATTCAATTGTTCACATGTTGTAGTATATTCAGTAGAGCTACATAAATCTATTCTATTACATTCTGAAGTCACCTTATACTGATACCTTCATATTCTTTCAAAATTCAGAAGTCAAATTTAAATAGAAATCAAATTTTAATGTATTTCAATTATAACATAAAATACATTTACTA